CATTTGAAGTCTATCACTTCTTGAGGTTGGCATAGAACTTATGCTCATGCATCAGTGCAAGAACCTTTTTGACGTGGATTCATTAGACTTCTACATCCGCATATCCATCTATTTACTCTATCTAGAAACAGGTCATCGAAATAGCTAGGTGTTTATTATCGCACAGATGTTAAAAGATTTGACTCCTTTGTTTAACATTTCAAAGGCATCAAAAATTCTTGAGGCATACCGCTTGGAGTGCTCACCGCAGTGTACAGTAGTTCCTTTAACGCATAAGGATCTGATAGAACCCAACAATCAGATAATACGATGAAAAAATTTAACTCTTTGCCATACCATTAATACTTAAGCCTTTCATTGGCATCAAATTTTGAGCCGATACAGATGCAGAACTCAACTTGTTTTAGGCATGTACTATCCGCATCCTTCTGTGGACTTCGGACATAGTAGATAGAAGAGCTATATTTAAAATTAGATTACCTCACATATCCCGCTGCGAAGCGATCGGCAAATATTTTTGGCAATCGCTATTACCTGTTTACGAGGCAGTGACCTCTGCTTCAGAACAATGTACCTCAAATCTTGTTCAAATTCGATCGCTTGACAATTGCTGTTCTTCCTGGGTAATTTGCATGATAGTATTACAGTGAACACATCTTCGGATTACGTCAATTCATCGAATTAAAATTTGTCTCGACCGATTTCTTCGATTGAGATGTTTCTTGTCTAATTCGAGTCTTATCATCAAAGATGCTATCGTCAATTGATGAGCTGCTGACAACTCTTTTGTTTACATCAAATAGCAGTGCCTACAATGAATTAGGTCACCAACCATTCTCCGCGACGAGTACGCAAATCTGTGTGACTCTGCCACTACGCCTATTACGAAAAGGTAACCTGTTCGAGCGTAGACAGTTAAGTGATCTCTTCAATTATCTTCGGAGGCGCAATCAATTCAGGTTGGTAAGTAACTACTTTTAATTAAACATTTTTAAGTCTCTGTTATCTCCTGGTAACTCATAATCACAGTTGGGTGGGGACTTATTCGATCACTATCCTCTTGGGCTGAATCATTACATGACACAATTGTAATTATTACCTCGCTATCCTATGACGGTGGTTGCGCTACCTCGGCCAGATCTTCTACGTACGATTCCTTAATCGCACAAAGATCATCTTACTGCCAATCATTGGAAACCGTTTCGTTGTCACTTGGGTGTTATACGTTTAGAGGACACCTATGCACCAGTCCACTCGAATTATTCGGTTTGTGGGCCTTCGGCGCAACCTGCACAATGCAGTCGCCCTGATATGGGTTTTTGGTCTGTGTGCATTCGTTCAAATGACCGAACCCTACGCAATACCATCACACTCGCTCGTAGTAACCTCATGTGTTAAGGGGCTCTCCGTGGTATTCAACAGATTTTCCACCGGTGAATAGGTGACAGGCATAAAGACACTTCGTATATGCCAGCTGACTTAAGGCTCGAACCTATTGAGCCACGGCAGTCGAAGGATAAAATTGAAATTTTGTCATCCATGTCAAATTTAATAAAGTAACTTTAAATATTGAAAAGGTAATAACCACTACACGTTTCATCACCATTATGGATGTGCCTATCGCGAGGTGCACTATCATCCTTTCTGAAGGGATATTGCGCTAACTACATTTTACATTGCTGTTGTCTAGCATTTGGCGTTGTACAAAGTTTATCGACGCCCCCCATTAACTTGGATTTGAAGCGACATGTTTCGTGTTACTTCGAGAATCAAGGCTTTGAAAGAAATCTCATGATAAGAAGCAGCAACACACAATGGTTAAGTGTCGGGGTAAGCTTTCGTCAAGAGGTCTGCATACCAACTTGACATTGCTGGATCAGAAGATTGCTCCTCACCTCCTGACCCTAGCCGTTTTTTGCTGTCCGTTACGTTGTTGCATCTTCGCTGCAAAGTCCGTCCCACGGCTTTAACTCCGCTTGACTTCTTGGCGGTTATTGCTCCCTGCGGTACGTGGTACCGCGTTAAGGACACTGCGTTCGTATGCATAATTCCCTGTATTCTGACATTTATTGCATGTTTGCTTTTTTAACTATAATTTATGACACGAGAGCTTTCGAACCCCGCGTGATAGAGGTTCATTGGTGCTGGTCTTTACAGACGATAAGAATTCGAGTTCGCGTGAGCCTTTTTTTCACGCTGAAGTTTTTCATTTTCGCAACCCTTATGGCTTCGTCCACGGTGTTAAGTTCCAACCGGAACAGATAGATTTTTACGGGGCCGTCGTGAGACCCTTCATGAACAACTTAATGAATGTTTTTTCGTTCAGTGGGTCGACTGTTACACAATTGGTAAGCTAACGTATGTACTGATTCTACGAGTCTACGCCAAGTAAACCTTGCTTGATTTTCAGGAGTTCAGAGCGAGCCCTGAATGTAGCTCGCGGCGTATCAAATGTTTGTATAAGCAGAGACTTAAAGACCTCCGACGACCCAAAGACGCATGGGTCGTGTATTTTAAGGCCCAAGGCCCACGTTTTTTGCACGTCCTGCCAAGTTCTATTGAGCAAATGCCATCTGCATTTGCTCATTGACAATGTGTCAAGCCTCTATGGCATCGTCTTATTGCACGAGCCATCTCAACAGAGAGCCTTTATCGTCTCCCTTGTACTTTGATATGTCAATATTTAGATCCTTGGGTCCGTGTGTGAACGTCGACCCGGTAGCAGTGGCCTGCAGCTGTCTCAACAATTAAAACTATTAAGTAAAATGATCTCTAAACAGATGTGTCCGTTGAAACCCTTGTTGGTAAAGCAAAGTTACCTTTTCCTGCTCGACGTCAAGATTATAATACTTTTACTTGGCGATGGTGGCGTGCTTTCCGTTTGGCCCCAAGTCGGACAACTTGCGCCAGCTGGATCCTGCTCCATCGTTGAACTCAAACTAGCGACGGCATACCATCCAATATAACATAAATGGGAGTAGCTCACGCGTAGGCTTACATTTATGTACTTCATCGTCTAACATGTTTGTGGTCATTAATGGGACTACAAATATAAACATTGTGTTTGTCTTGACAAATTATTCATACTTTATTCACTTATGCAACTTATCATGTAACGGAGCCACTCCGTTATTACATACTTGCATTCAACACGCACCGATGCTTCGTCTACCTGACCTCGACAAAATGCTTTTGTCCCAACAGACGCTACCCATGCCTGCACAGTAGGATTGCTTTTTAACTGCACGTTGATAACAATCTTATTATCGCATTTTGGAGCAGGTTGTAACGGGGCACCCTTTGTTTGGGTGCCGCGAAACTTCACGTACACTAGTACGTGCAGAGGAAGCTAGTCTACTCTACGACTAAGCTGAGTATAGGTAAAAAGAGACTTCATTGAATATAATTAAGCTGTCAATATAACTTTAATCTTTATATATCTGTGTTAAACTACGTCGTCGTACGACGGCAACCTGCTCACCACTCATTGCGCGCGTCTAGCAGCGATTGGTGGTAATCTATGTTGATATGTTTTACATCAACCAATCTAGGAGCAGCACATGAATATTATCCAAAAGGGGACAATATTCCTACAATATTATTCATCTCGGATAATATTGGTAGGATATTGTCATGCTAGACAATATCTCTATTGACACCGTTTGGTGTCAATTTCATGTAGCGAGCTACCCCGTTAAAGCCATTTTACGAGAAACAATTGCTTGTAATCAAGCACGCGCTTACCCGTTGGTGTCACTACCTTCATGGCGCATAGTTTGATATATACACAGACAATTTGGTTTGCAAATAGTATTTACAGGTCGGCTGGCAAGATGATCGGATTTTTTTGTCATATGATCTTACCCATCATCATCATCGACCTAGCACGCTGAATGTTGTTGCCGACGCTTTGTCGTGACCGTCTGCAGAGGTGCCTACCTCATCGAGAACGCACCTAGACATTAGTGGAGATATATGTTCGACCTTCGATGTGTGCCCGACATGTATGAACTTCCATCGTTGTGCACGCAAAGGCCGTCGGCATTCAATTGTGACAACGTTTTTACTAAATTCGGGCGTATCTGTGCACGTGATCAAGACATGATGCTGGCCGTTACACAACCCGCGTCACCATACCACGAAGTAGGTACGGCTCAGATGCATATGCGATTGCATGCAGCAGCTATGGCCACTAGCACAATAATAAGCCCTCTTTAGCTGGATGTTCACACGCTAAAGGCTTTTCAGGGAGCTAACAGGACAAATCCCGTTCTCAAGCATGTGTGGAAGGCCGGTCGACCTTCAACGGAGTACGAGGTCATTCGCGGCTTGACCAACCCGAAAAGTGAAAATTAGCTTGTCGGGATTGCGTATCAAGCAGCAACAAATTTTGTCTTGGTGTAATCCACAATAACCATGATGCTGCTCTTATAAAGCACCCAGGAATTCGACGAACGCAGCTTGCAGCGACGCAACAGTACTTCCGTCAGAACATGGATGAGGTTAAAGACTACGTAAGGAGTTGCGAGTCGTGTATGAGGTAAAAGTCGAGTACAGGACGCGAGAACGGAAAGCTGCAATAATACCGATAACATCAGCTTGCTGGGAGGTTATATTGACCGACTTTAATGCTCATTTGCCAGTGTCAGATGACTTTGACGCTACCATGGTGGTACTCGACGAATTGTCGAGGCGTCCTGTCTATATAACTCATCATACCACAGCAACCGCAGAAGCTACGGCCAAGATGCTCCTTAGTAACGTCATTCGCTACTATGGGGTGCCGTCAACGATCATCTCCGAACACGATCCAAAATTCACGTCTAAGTTTTGGACTACACTGGTAAACATGATGAAAATCAAGACAGCAATGACTACTGCCCACCGAGCACAGGCCGATGGGCAAATTGAACGCAGAAATCAGACGCTCGAAGACTCATTGCTATGCTCAACCTCGTACCACGGAATTGATTAGAACAAACATCTCCCCATGATCGAGTATGCGCTTTCATCCTTGGTCTAGTTCTTCAAAGCTGTCTTCGATCTTTGTGTATACGGGTCGGATACCTTATAACCCTTTGATCGTGGGTATGGGCGCTACTGGCGTAGCGCCACCCTTTGTGGAGTATGCCTCTAGATTTATACAGCATCCCCAGCAGGTAATTGAGCAGGCACACAGAAATCTCTTGGGTGCAAGGCTGCCCAAAAGAAACAATAAACGTGCCGACAATCCGTTCAAGGTGAAGGACCTAGCGCTTTTTGCAACGCAAGAACTCAACATTTCACACGCGACAGCTAAGACAATGCTTCGCTCAAGAAAGTTTGTTATGCGATTTATTGGCCCGTTCGCCATTTTGGAGGTTAACCGGTAATGTGATGCTACTAGACTTGTCGGTAAATCTCAAGCACGTCGGCCCTCGCTATAACATCGACAAGCTTAAGAAATAAATGAGTAAACCCGACCGCTTTACTGGGCGTGTAACTCCTACGTTCACACCTGTGATTTTCGACGAAGCAGGTGAGGTGCTGCACGTGGTTGAAGCATCGATTAAATAACGCACCTTTACCCGGCAGCCGGAGTACTTGGTCAAGTGGCATGGACTGCCGCACCGGGAGAATACGTGGGAGCGTAAGCACGACATCAAGCATGTCAGTCACTGAAAACAGCTGCTCAAGGATGTCCGTCAACGTGGTTGTGCGGATCGCGCTGAGGCTGTAACAAGTTTGTGGGGTCGCATCGTGTTTCACCAAGGCTGGACGCCTTCAACATCGAAGACTGCAGTAATTATCGTGCCGGAGCTCACTCAAGTCGGAGCGAGTGTAATGTTTTGCACGCACAGAAACCAGACAAGTCGCCATCATCAGTTGAGTCCGGTCCCGGAACGCATGAGAATGCGCAAGCATTCACGCTAGCGAGCCACAGCCATACACTGCAAATTCAGAACACTCTCACTTAGTAGAGCGCCCTAGGTACGTCATAACACGGTAGCAAACAGAGAAAAACAAACGACTCCATTTCGTATTTAGCAACACCTTGACAGTCATGCAGCAACGCTTCCAGGCTCATCCCCTCATCGGATCTTGTTTTCAAATGTTCTGCTATTCAACGATCAAAACAGTGCATCAATTATAAAGTGGTTTTAACGACAAATAGCTCAAAGCAGTAGAATCAACAAATGTGGGATTACACTTGCTCACGGTGGCTCAAGTGGTTTACGTCGGACCCAGCCATAGCTGAAGATCACTGTCCGGGCTCGATAAGCGATGTGTGTTGTGGAGGTCGGTTTGTTTGCTTGTCATGTCAGGATCATTTATGTAGAGACTTACGTACCTCTAAATATCTCTATGCCAGGAACTACGCGCCGTCGTCGCAGTTTGTCGTCTGATTTCTCGAAAGTGATAGAGGCGAGGTGACGGCTTGAGCGAGACTGACTACCACGTTAAAAAAGCCGTCATGAGTCGATACACGTGTAGGAAGGCGTCGTTACGTCTACTTTTGGCAGCAGGAATGACCGCATACGCGGCCGACCAGTCGTATGTGTGCGACGTCGAGGCAACTTTCGCGAAGAAAGGACCCCGCTATCATTGATGACGAGCCTAACATGGCCGCTTGTGCAGCTTTTTGACTTGCAATGCGGTCGCTGAAGCGAGCGCGAGGCGCAAGGAACGAGCGGAAATGGGTGGTTTAAATGAATGAACATTTTACTACAGCAGCCACAACTATTTACTTTCTGTGATCGACAGACGCGCATAAACACCAATTTGGCAACAACAACAACTGTATGGTGTAGTTAGTAGATAGTGTACCTGCTAGCTAGCCTTTTTTGAATCTGCCGTTAAGTCCCTCCCCTGCCCGGCTACTAAATGCCACGATGAGAAGCATTTAAAGCCCGTCAAAAACTGATCTGACCGAGCCTTGTACAAGATGGGAAGCAGTCGACGAATTTGTGACTGCCACGTATCTTGGAGGAACTGGCTGTCGCTACTGCATGCGCTACGTATCTGCAACTTCATCAGGTACCGCTTAGCTCATGCACGGCAACAGACAGTACCGACAAAAACAGCCGCCATCTTGCTGCAACACTCGCGTTACTCGCACTCTTAGAGCTGTTACAGCTTGTAGTAGAATAACTCGCAACGAACGTGTAGATTATCTGCTCTGTCTGAACTGTACAAGCTACACTTCATGTCATGCTTGCTACCAATAGTCGTGACTTTCAACGAAGGCCTCGACATGCCGGCAATTGGATAAGTCGCTGAAAACGAAGAGCATCTCCTAAAGAGGTACCGTCAGGGATGTGTGTTCAGATGGACCAGAATCAGAGTGACGACCTGCTTGAAGCAGAGTCTGGTCGATCTCTTCTGCCGGATTCGTTGTCTCCCGGCCATCATCTTCTCCCACCAATCAATTACTTCTGCATAGCTACAGTCATTCATCAACTTGCCATCTCGAACCCACTTCCGTCCACTTTCATCTGTCCCCTCGTCCCCCTCCTTTAATGCCTGATGCGTCCATCAATCTTCGTGTCCGCGGCATTGTTCTGTCTGTCAGCTTGTGGCAATGCTGTGAAAGCAGACGCGGGCCTCGGGAACCCCGTGGCGTCTAGCGGGGCCTTGCCAGCTTCGCACGACGACGCTGTCGCTGATGCCGATGCGAACACCGAAAAACGCTTCCGTCTGGCGCGTAACAAGGACCTAAAATCTGAGGATGGTTCGCTGGACGGCAAACCCGATGCCACAATTGTCGTGCCCGACGCTCGACCCCATGCGACAAAATCTCGTGACGTCGAGTTCAATTTTGACTCCAGTGACTCCATTAGCTCCTCAAGCGACGACCCCGCCATCTACGTCCCCAGCAGGGACAGTATCAGTAGCTCGGATGTAGGCGCATATGCCAAGTATAACGGTGCTTTTCATGAACACTTCAGCATCAGGGAAAAGATTAAGTACAGCTACAAGTTCTATGTCGATCATCGGACTCGTACACAAACGCAGGTCATAATCAGCCAGATCAAGAAAAGAGGAAGAGAAGCTGATAATGACGAACTCAAAAGTCAAGAGGGCTACATCAAGTTTCTGGACTCAAAGTGCGCCCTCCCAAAAAAGAAACACGCGCTGGCTTGTGCTTAGGCATGCTTTTGTATGCTTTGAAGGGCAAGTCAGCGCCTGTTGCTTTTGCTTTGCTTTCTGCACTAAGGTTTGTTAGTCATGTTGTGTATCAGCTCGTAGTCTCGACAATACAACATTTTTTTTCTTTTCGTGAACGGCTACCGAAGTCATTTTTAATGTAATGAGCATGCGCATACTTTAATATGTATGAGTGCGAGATGGATGAAAATTTATGTAAATGCTAACAATACTACAGCCAGCACCACATCGACACGAAATAGCTGATCACGTTGTACACTTCTCATACATGTTACATTGATTACGTAACTTTTGCTGGGTGCATTCCTTTATAGGACGACTGCCAACTGATCTGGTTGCGCTCACTAAATCATTGACAAATGGCCTACTCCCTTTCCAATTGGCACGCACCTACGAAGAGGTTCCACCCTTAATGATCCACTCTCGATCGCTGCCGGCTAGATGAGCTCAGCAAGTCTAGCCTAAGGATGGGGCCAAGGATTACGCGTAATGGCGTGCTGGGACTACTGATGTAACGGGGCACCCTGAAGCTTGTACTGGTGACAGTACAAGCTACTTATTCTGATGACAGAATAAGGTGGTGCCTCGTAACTTCACGTACACTCGTACGTGCAAAGGAAGACGGTAAGAAGAAGCGAGTACTTAGTTAAAGTAAAAAGTAGAACTGCATTTATCATAGTTAATGTCTGCAATAAATCACTATTTATCCTCATCTAACTATGTTAAAATACAAATTTGTAAATCAACTATCTGCTCACCACTCATTGCGTGCGTCTGTCGTGGCGCGTCTTCGTTGGTTGATATAATGGCCTATATCAACCAATTAGGAACTACTCGATAGTGCTACAGAATATTTGTCCTTATGACAATATTCTGAGAATATAACTCTTATAGTCATATTCTATGAACAATTTCTTATAAATTGTTATGTAACGATTCACCCCGTTACATCACCCCCCCCTTGACCATCAGTCACTTTAGTGACTGATTGACTAAATGAATACTCGTCCCAAATCATTTGGGACAGGGTTTGCACTTGTTGGTCCGCGTCCACTTTCCAACATCTCATCGCATGGTAAACAAGCCCATGCGATGCGCGAACAAGGCCGCCGAGAGCGCGTCTGCACGTCTCTGTGCGGACGCCGAAGCAGAAACAACAGCAACTGATGTCTCATCGGTTGCTGAAGCGACCCAGCCTGTGTCACTTGGTGATGCAGGCGCTGGTCATGAAGACACTCATGTCTTCACAGAGTACGAGCTCGGTGTCTCATACTCTCCTGATACGGATGACGGATCCGTATCGACGGCGATTGAATCTAAGCCGCCTGCCAAGCGTGGCATGGACGATGCTTTGCGTCGCAGCATCTTTGGTTCATCTGATGAATCAGATGAACCATCGCCGAAGCGAAGGCGCTCGAGGTCGCGAGACTCGGGCGCCAACAGTGGTGTCGGTTCTCCTGTTGACACCACTTCGCAACGAGGTGCCAGTACTTCCGTCGGCACGTCGCAAGAGGAGCGGGACCGCAGTGTGTTGCGTCTCGCTCCAGAAAAGAAGGCATGGATGCCTCCAAAATCCGTCATGGATCACTTGTCGGCGACGACAAGCGATCGTTATCGAACACGATTGTTCGATTCGTCAAGGATCCATCACCTTGACCCCAGCGCGAAAAACTATCGCGCTGAACATGAATTCTTCATCGATGCTTTCTTTAGACATCGATGGTACAGTGGGAATCACAAACGTGATGGTCCCTCTCTACTTCAGGCGTGGAACGCCTACATCCATAACCTCGAGGATGTAGGTCGTGACGCTTGGAACGACAAACTTATCAAAGCTCGTGATAAGTTTGAAAAGCGAACCCCGACTGGGGCACGCTACAATCTGCATCGTCTGTCTAAGGAGGGTGGGTTACCCTGCCTCTCTTGGGGAGACTCGTGCCCATGTTGTGTGAACAACTCTGCACGAGCACCTAAGGAGGATTACCTCCTTACCAGCCCGTGGTGGCGCGTACGTATCTCTGCTGAGATGTAAGAAGGGATTGACAACCTGAAATCCCTTTACGACCGTGCCGGGAAGACTTTCTCCGGCGGTCCTTCTGCGGCACAGGATGTGCCGCGTCGTACTACTCAACCAGACCCAGTACTTCGATCATCAGTTGGGAGCGGGGCTCCCAAGAATCCCAGGACGGGGGATAGCCGCGCCACCGGACGAGATAACTCGTCCGACGTCCGTTCACGTCGCGGTGGTTCAACAGCTGCTAAACTGGATAGCGCTGGCCACCGCGAGAGTCCTCTAATGGAGGTGGAGGAGGAGGAAAGACGCTCTCCACACGATCATGTGGATCGGTGTGTTCCCGAGAGCTTCTTTGATCGCGTAACGCAAGGGTTATGCGACGATCTCGAACATGAGCGGAATAGGCGTCTCCAAATGGCGGATACTGCCTCGAAGCATCGAGCTTAGTTTGCCTTTGCTCAGCTTGAGAACGAGAGATCTCTGACATCTCTTCGTGACGAGCTAAGGGTAGCTCGTGGGATTGCTGATCGGTCTCGGGATGAGATAGCTGCTCTTCAGACCTTTGTTGATGCCCACCATCGGGAGCACAAGGCTCTCTGCGAGATGCTTGAGCGCAAGGGCGTTCTTCATCGGAAGAAGCAGCGTACTGATGGTACGGCTTAAGCCGACCAACGTAAAACGTGGGATGCGTTCGCATCTTACGTGGTAACTCGATCGTGTATGCATTGCCTAGGCGGTGCAATACCCGAAATGGGCCGATGTACTTGGGTAGTAGTTTACTGCTACCCAAGTTAGTCACTACATGCTTTGGTAGATTAACCGTAGACAGTAGGACTAAGTCACCTTTATCAAATAAAAGAGTGTTTGCCCTTCCATTCTTATCAGCGTTTTGCTTTTGCTTATCCACCGCTTCGGCGATGGAGTCTTGCACAAAACGGACTACCGTTTCACGAGCCAGTATGAACTCATCTGATGACTCGTTAGCTTCAGTGCGCTGTGAGCGCACTGCAGCAACATCAACCTTTTCTTCAGTGAGGGCTTCCGCACTCTCACTGGGATCATCTTCTTCAGTGAGGGCTTCCGCACTCTCACTGGCATCATCTTCTTCGATATCGATGTTATCGATATCGGCATCAAACGCAATGACTTCTTCGTCAGAGCGTGATGAGCGTGAACCAAATCGATTTTTGCTCGCGCGAGTCCCTCCCCCCCCCTTAAACCAGAGTTACACTCTAGTAAGGTGGGTACACGCGGATGGCGCAAGCCATTCACGTAAAACGGTGTATGTGTCGTGGATGCATGCACCGAGTTGTTGATGGCAAACTCTACCATTGGCAAAAACTCACTCCAACTCTTAAAGGAGTGTACGTATCCTCGAAGTATCTCTTCAAGGACACGATTGGCACGTTCCGTCTGACCATCTGACTCTGGATGATCAGATGTTGACATCTTCAAGCGCGTTCCGAGTGATTTGAACACGGAACGCCAGAAATCAGCAGTGAATCGTGGATCTCTGTCTGATACGAGTTCACGGGGCAACCCATGAAGTCGGAAGATGGTGTCAATAAAGACACAAGCACAGCCACTTGCCGTGATTGTATCTGGTACAGCCACAAGGTGTACCATTTTGCTGAATCTGTCAACAAATACGAGAATACCCGTATTCCCGCGTGCGTCTTTGGGTAACCCGAAGACGAAATCCATTGAGATGGATTCCCAGCACTCAGCCGGAACCGGTAGAGGCTGTAAAGGTGCACGCAGTGAAGGACTTGACTTCACTCGTTGGCAGACTTCGCATGCGCGAACATACTTTCGCACAAACTGATACTGGCGGGGCCAGTAAAAGTCTCGACTTACCGTGAGATATGTTTTCTCTCGGCCACGATGTCCTCCTATAGGAGCATCATGGTACTCGAACATGATCCGCAAACGCAGATCAGTATCATCTGGAATGACAACACGTGGTGTGTCACCAGAAACGGCTGTATAATACAGTAAACCGTTACGAGTAGTGTATCGATCTGATTCAGATCGATACGCAGACGACAATCGTTTCAACGATTCTCGAGATGGTTGGGAGAGATGTGTCAACAACTTCACTATCTCACCATCTTGGGCGTATGCCCGCCTCACATCATCATACAACGTTGTAGATGGGACTGAGGACGTCATAACCGCAACAGTGACTGTCTCACTGTTGGGTTTCGCGACTGTTTCAAAGTCGGGACGACGTGAGAGTGCATCAGCGACGACGTTAAGTCGTCCTGGCTTGTACTCAACCGTAAAGTTGTATTCTGCAAAGAATGACAACCACCGCGCCATTCGTTGTGAAAGGTGCGGGCTTTTCACTGCCGTGCGTAATGACGCATGGTCAGTGTAAACAATGAAGGGTCTATCTCCTAATAGATAGACTCTGAACTTCGCGAGTGCATACTTCATGGCAAGGAGTTCCTTGTCATGCACTGGATAGTTCCGCTCAGCTGGTTGCAGCTGACGCGACTGATAGCAGACGACGCGTTCAACGCCTTCAAGATCGTACTGCATTAATGCACAGCCGATTGCGAAATCGCTGGCATCACAGACCACATGAAATGGCCTGTCCTGATCGGCTATTGCTAGGACTGGGGATTGTATCAAGCTCTGCTTGATACCCTCAAAGGAGCGTTGACATTCAGCGTTCCATAACCACCTCTCGTTCTTTTTCAACAAACGAGAGAGGTGCACAGTCATCTCGGCGTAATTGCGTGTATACTTGTGCAAATACGCCGCTATCCCAAGGAATTTTCGAAGACCTTTGACGTCGACTGGCACAGGCCAGTCGGTGATCGCCTTGATCTTTCGGGATCAGGACGTACACCGTTCTTACCAACGATGCACCCAAGAAGTGGTATTTCGCTTGCTGCAAAGATACACTTCTTGAGGTTTGCATAAAATTGATGCTTTCGCCTGATTGTAAGAACCTGTCGGACGTGGTACCTGTGAACCTCAACGTCCGACTTTCCATCCATAGCTCGACTATGGATGAATACGTCATCGAAATAACTCGGCGCGAATTCTTGTACTGGTCTCAACAGATGTGATACACATCTGTTGAACGTGGCAGGGGCATTACTGAGCCCTTGTGGTATTACTAGCCATTCCCAGAGCATGCCGCTAGGCGTGCTCACTACGGTATAGGGTATGTCCGTTCTCACATAAGGACTTGATAGAAGCCATCTATCAAATCCATGGACGAAAAGATGGTACTCTTTGACATACCATCAATGATTACGTCCTTCCTCGGTATCGGCGTCTGAGCCGGTAACGTTGCAGCATTCAACTTGTTAAATGCATGCAGAATCCGCCACCCTCCTGTTGCTTTTCGCACACAGAAGGTCGGAGAGCTATGTGGGGAAGTTGATTCCCTCACATGGTCCGCAGCTAAGCGATCGGCAAAGAACTTGTCGATCGCAAGTACTTGTTCACGAGGCAGTGGCCACTGCTTCATGACACAGTACTTCGAGCCTGGTTTAATCTCGACCTCGTGTCGAATACCTTTATCCTTCGGTAACTCGCACGGAACAGTTTCAGGGAATACATCCTTGAATTTAACCAAATCCTTATAGAGAGGATTTTTCTTGAGCGATTCCCATGATTGGGAGTCATATCGCTCAATTCGTGTCTTTTCATCTAGGACACTCTCGTCCATAGATGAACTACTGAGAACTCTCTCATTCTCAGTGAACACTGTTACTGACCTTATGTCGGTTACACACTCGTCGTCAGCGACGAGTATGCAGATCTGCTTGACTTTGCCACTACGCAGATCGCGCAAGAACCTTTTGTGTTCGAGCGTTGGCAACTAAGTGATCTCCGAAGTTAACTTCGGAGGCGCAATCAGATCAAGTGTATAAGCGCCTACACTTGATCCGTTATTGACTATGACATTCAATGTCTCTGTCATTTCCTGGGGACTTATTCCCTCAGGCTTTGAAGGACTTATTCCTTCGTCTTCCCGGGACTTATTCCCGCGGGTTTCGGGGAACTTATTTCCGCCGTATTTGTAATCTTGGGACTTATTCCCTTTACTTCCTCTATCTGGGGTTGCGCAACCACAGCGAGATCCTCTACGAAAGACTCTCCAGTCGATCTAGGATTATCGTTTCGCTTAACCTGAGCGATCGATTGTTTCTCTTCTAGATGTTCCCCGCTAGGGATACATCTTTGTCCCAGTCCACCCGACTTATTCGAGTGGTGGACCTTCGGCGCAGCCTGTGTTTCCTCACAGCCGCCGGAACTTTGCTCCGAAGTGTAACCGTTTGGTACACTAAGGTTTTGTGCAGTCGTACTAACGACCGTACCACAAGTGAGGCCATAGCACTCACTCGTAGTACATCCACACGCTTGTGGACGCTCCAAAACGTTCATCAGATGGCCATCTGATGAACAAGCGGCAGGCATCGTTACTGTTCGATGTTGCCACTTTACCCAGGGTCCTTACCTTCTGAGCCACGGTATTCCAAGGATGACATCAAATTTGTCATCCAAATCCAATGCGATAAAGTCATCGTCATATTGGGTATCTTCTAGCGTATAGTGGATCTTCACTATACGCTTCATGACGGTTACGGATGCGCCTGTCGCAAGACGTACCGTCATCCTCGTAGGAGGTGTGTCACATTCACTGAATTTAAAGTGACCATCTTCTAGCGATTGGCGTCGCACAAATTGTTGGACGCCCCACAATCGACTAGAGCTCGAAGGGACAACTTATTCGTCACTTCGAGTTTCAAGGTAATGAGTGAGACCTCATTACCTAGAGCAGCAACGCACAACGTTTGTGTGTTGGAAGCAACCTTCATCAAGAGGCCTACAAATTCTCTTGACGTTGCTAGACCAGTAGGGTGCTCCGCACCTACTGATCCTGTATGTTTTTTGACGGTCCATCCCGTTGTTGCGTCTTTACACCAACTGCGGACCCTCGTCCCTGCCCCTTTCTCATGGGTGGACGGTCACTACGCCCAGTGTCGCGAGACACTGGACGAGGGGCACTACACTCGTAAGCGTAGTGTCCTGTCTTTTGACATCTGTTGCATCTCTGCAACTTCTTGTAGCCTGTAGAGCGAGCCTTCTCGCTCTCTACATAACAGAGTTCCATCGGCTCTGGACCTCCGTTGTCATATCGTCTCGGTTGACGATATGATGTCGAGCTGGCGCGAGCCTGTCTCAGACTGAAGTCTTCCTGCTCCGCAATGGAAATGGCTTGTTCTAGTGAATCCAGTTCAAGTCGGAACAGGTGAGTCTTGACTGGACCATCCGCAAGACCCTGCATGAACACCGAAACCAACGTGTGTTCATCCACCGGATTGGAACTTATACAACTCGTAAGATGTCGTATATGTTGGGCGTAAGCGTGCACATCACGCTTACCCTGTTTGAGCTTCAAGAGTTCGGTTCGAGCCCTGAAC